GCAGAAAGCAGAAGTGGAAATATTTCACATAAATTAAGGACCATTTTACTTTAAAAATTATAGAAAACTGCCTTCAGCTAGAGGGACGTTTGCTGTGTACTGAAATTAAGAGTGTATTGCTTGAGAATAGATGCTGAAGCTGGTTTACTTAAAAAGCAGAAGCATAGTCAGATTATTGTCAATTGTGAAAACAGAGGCAGGGAAGAACCTGCAATTTGGGAGATGGGAAGAGAAGCTACTAAGGGGAGTGATTACCCATGGAAGGAGAAGATGCAGGGGCTATGCAGAGGAACCATTGTACTTAATTCTGTGTATCTTTATATGCTCTTATTTTCTTAAATGCATGAAGGCTGACCAACCTAAGAAATAAGGAACTTGGCATTTTGGCTCTGAGAAACAAAGTCTGTCGCAGAGATGATGGCCCAAGACAGGCCTGATGAAATGGGACATCTTGCGGTCTAAAAGTCCCATTTACGAGAAGACCTGTCTCAAGATACTTGCGGTGGGCCGTTGTGGGTTATGAAGAAAGGTTAGGAAAGAGTAGAAAAAGTTAATACCATGTTTGGCATAAAGGAATTATGTCCTTTTAAGGAAAATACTAAATAAAAAGCAGAAGTGAAGTAATTAGGCATCCGGGAATTGCAGTATGTAACTTCTTGTCACCAGCTCTGGTGGCCAGAAGAGGGCATTTTTTATTTTCTTCACCACTCCGGGGAGAGTATATAAGTAGGCTGAATAACTTGATTCGGTGTGGGTTCTCAATGCTCCCTGAGCAGCGAGGGGCACCCTGCCTGCAGGCTGTATCCAAATAAAATCTGCTTCACTGAAGGAAAGTCTGTCTCCAGAAATTACTTATTGGTAAGAGAAAAATTCATTTACCACACCGATTTCTGGTCTAGCTGCTGAGGGAGGCAGATTCAATACTTTGGATCCACAGACTTTTCCAGTGGTACCAGTACTAGTTAAGCTGGTTTACCTGGTTAAGGCTGGGCCCATGACCTACTGAGGCGTGGTTAGTCCAGTCACCACTAGTTAGCAGAGTGCTTAAATAAAGCCACAAACGCAGGAGCATCACTTTACCAGGTTACTCAGCTTACAAAGCTACACAGAGCCACACTGCAAGTTTAGAAGAGAAATACTTCTCTCGTTATTTGGACGGGAAAGAGCAGAGATTGATAGATTACGAACTTACTAGCTAAAGGACGGAGACAGATGGCAAGAGGCCCATCTGCCTCGTGGTGCCAAAAGAGGGCCACACATCCCTTACTTGGTGTGTGCAGGTACAGAGCGCATTTTCATCCAGAGAGAAAGAGAGGAGGAGAAAGGGGAAACTGATGCCTGAGAACACAAACCTGCATTTCAAAGAGGACAGTGGCAGAAGAGTAAATACAGGAAGAAAGGTCAGTGTGCAGAGGGAGGGAGGGAGGGTGCGGCCATGTGGAAGCAGGGCACCCTCAAGCGTGCAGGTGGCTCCCAGGTACAGGCAACGTGTGCCGGCTTGTCCTACCCAGTGGTCACATTTTCAGTTGGACGGAGGGTGGTCTGGTCTACGCACTCCTGAAGCCACACCTGGCATCTCTCCAAAAAGGGGCACCTTATTTGGGGATCCGTAATTCAGATCCCTCAAATTCCAACCCACACATAACTTGCGGGGCAGGTGGAGGGGCATCCCGGGGAGGTATGCTGGGATTTGGATGCCTCTAGCTAACCCAAGGTCCATTCCATACGCTCCTGAACCCATGCCTGACATCTCCCCAAAAAGCACTTTCCTGGGGCACCTGGATTGGGGTTCTGTAACTCAGACCCTCAAAGTCCAATCTTCGGACTCTCAAAGTCCAAACCTGGTGGGCAGGCAGGGAAGTGTCAGCTGAGATGCCCTCTGGTTTTGGGGCCTCTACGACCGGGCAGGGGGGCATTTCTCATCCAAATCAATTCACAAACTGATCTGCGAAACAGGCCGGTTCATATTAAGAGAACCCATTCGGGACGCGCGCCAGTTCAGTATGCAAACCGAACCGGGATTTCAAAGTCTGTGTCTCTAGTCAAGAGGTTACAATGGCACAGAAAAGTGGGCGGATGTGAACAAGATGCAATTTAACAAGGATAAGTGGTGAGTTCTACATCTGGGTAACAAAAATGAGGAACGCACATAGTGGATGCGGGAAATACTTCTGAGTGGCAGTGTGTGTGAACAAGATCTTGGGGTAAGGGTGGACCAAAAAATATGAGCATCCAGTGTGATGCGGTGATCTTGGGGTGTATCAACAGAAGCATAACATCCAGATCACAAGATGTCATAATCCCGATGTACACGGCATTGGTCAGGCCACACCTGGAGTATTGTGTGCAGTTCTAGAGGCCTTACTTCAAAAAGGATGTGGACAGAATAGAGCGAGTGCAGAGGAGAGCGACGAGGATGATCGAGGGCCTGGAGACCAATTCCTGCAAGGAGAGACTGAGAGACCTGGGAATGTTTACTCTGGAGAAGAGGAGGTTGAGGGAGGACATGATGACTCTCTTTAGGTATCTGATGGTCTGCCATTTAGAGGAGGGCAGGGAGCTGTCCCTGGTGGCAGCAGAGGAGAGGACTTGCAATATAATGGGTTTAAATTAAGGGCGGGAAAGTACCAGCTGGATATGTGGGAAAACGTTTTTACAATAAGAGTTGTGCAACAGCAGACTCGGCTGTCTAGGGAAGCGGTGAGCTCCCCCTTGCTGGCAGTCTTTAAGCAGCATCTGGACAAACACGAGACAGGGATACTGTAGGTGTCTAAGTCTGTGATTCTATGATTCCTCTGTGGGCCTCCGGCCACCAGGGCCATAGGGGCATGGCCCCCTCACTGGGAAGGATGGTGGAGATCCTGGGGGGGGATATCTTTTATTATTATTATTAAATTTCCTGGTACTGGATGCCTCTTGCAAAGCTGCCAAGCCAGGCTGGCCACCCGACGAATCCCCAGGTCAAGGAGGTAGAGGTGGGGGGAGAGAAGTGGAAGCATGCATGCACCAGTGTTTACTTATTTATTATCAGATTTATATCCCGCCCCCCCTGCTGAGATGTTGTATGCACCTGGAGGCTTCAGCCCAAGGCATCCCCTCCCCTTGGCCCCCAGAAGCTGTAATCCTAGTCTGGACTCCAAAGTGGGCTGTTCCTCTGCCCCCCCCACCCTGATTGTGACCCTGGGCCCAGGAATGCTCCAGAGCTGTCAGGGGGGGTGGCGGGCCCCTCACTAGGTAAGACGGTGGTCCAGTGGTGGTGGGGAGCAGTGCCGGGTTCGCAAGCTGTCAGGCGGGACCCTGGGGTGGCTGGGTAGTTTTGTCCAGAGTCGCACACATGTGCAATCCCGGGCCTGGGCTGCACTCCGGTCTGGAGCTGTCAGGGGGTCTGCAGGCCCCTCACAGGGTAGGATGGAAGTCCGGGGGGGAACAGAGCCAGGTAAGCTGACAGGCAGGTTCTTGTGTGGGGCCTTCTGTGGCAGGAATGGAGGTCTAGGGTCAAGCTGTTCTCCAGAGAGGACACACAGACACCTTTCACCCCTTCAATGTCCTTGGTGGACTGGGGCGGGTAGACCAGTTCTCCAGAGATCACGTCTACCTGCTCCTTTCCACTACATTGGGAGACACGTTCCCCGGAAGCCAGGTCTACCAGTATAGTGGAAAGGGGTGGGTAGACCTGGCCACTGCAGAACAGATTTACCCACCACGGGCCTCCAGGTCGTGTGTCTGCCTTTCCATCCTCACACCTTTTTTCCAGGCTCTTCTGTGGGCCTCCTGCCACCAGCACTGTGAGGGGGGCTGCGGACAGTGTTCCCTCTAAGATGAGTGAGTGTGAGCTAGCTCACAGTTTTTTAGCCTCTGGCTCACACATTTTTGTCTTAGCTCAGGAAGGAGGGCTCAAGAGCAAACTAATTTATGCAGCAGCCAAATCTCCTGCTCACAACTTTAATGCCAATAGCTCACAAAGTAGAATTTTTGCTCACAGGGCTCCATAGCTTAGAGGGAACATTGGCTGCGGAGGGCCCTCTCTGTCAGGAAAGGAGGTCTGGGGAGGCAGGCCGTGTGCCCACCTTCCCCCCAATAGCCTTCCACTGACAATCCGGCCTGGGGCTCCTCCATAGGTCTCCCGCTGCCTTCTAATCTGGGGTGGGTAGACCTGTTCTCCGGAGGCCAGGTCTACCCGCCCCTTTCCACTACACTGGTAGACCTATTCTCCAGAGACCAGGTCTACCAATATAATGGAAAGGGGCAGGAGGCCAGGGCTCCCAGCTTGGAAGCCTCTGGCAAGTAAACCTGTTCTCCAGTGCCCAGGCCAACCCCCACAGTGGACAGACGTGGGTAGACCTGTCCTCCAGAGGCCTGGTCTACCAGCCAGGAGGCCTCTGGCCAACAGCCCTAATCTCCAGAGACCAAGTCTATCAATATAGTGGACCAGGGCGGGTACACCCGTTCTCCAGAGGTCACAAGACTCCACAGCTTAGAGGGAACATTGCTGGGCACAGGCCACTTTTAGCCCTCAGTTAACTTAAATAATTTCACTGGATGAGATTCAGCCAATGTGATGCAAAAGAATCCTCCTTGGCCACCAACACTACTACCTCATCGCCTCTCCAACGAGCTCTATAGTGTGATCCGTTTGATTCAGCCTGAGTTTCCTGTCAATGGTGTTCAAGCCATCTTACCAACCTTTCCAGAGAACCCAGCTCCCCGGTTACCTATGGGGCTGTGGCCCACCTTGATGTGGGGGTGCCAAGGAAAGACCTTGCCAATACCCTGAAAGCCACCATTCCATGCTGATAAACAGCATCAATAGAGTCTCAACCTTTCTATGGTTGGCTCTGTCTCTTGTGGCAGCCATTTTGTAGATGCACCCACCACCCTGTGTCAGTATTCCAAAGGTGCCCATAGGTGCAAAAAAGTCGGGGACCCTTGCTTTAGACACAGAGCTAGCTGGGCAGACAACCTCAAGAATTTCAGCTAGTAAATAATATTCATCATATTACCTGTGGATCTAGTTGAGCTTCCCGATCTTCTCTCCTTGCTGGAGGAACTCCGAGACCGTTTACTAGAAGGCAAAGATTGCCCTGGAGACCTTGATCGGTGTCTGGGACTAGGAAGGCGCCTTGGACTTCGACTTCTTGACCGACTTGTACTGCAGTGCTCAGAGCTCATTGATCGTGACCGAGTCCGACGCCTGGCATAGCCAGGGCAATGCCACCTTGATTCATGCCTCCTTCTCTCCTTGCTGGAAGAACTTCGAGACCATCTACTAGAGTGCCGCGGAGACCTTGACCGGTGTCTGGGACTAGAAGGGTGCCTTGGGCTTCGACTTCTTGGTCGACTTGTCCTGCGGCGCTCAGAGCTCCTTGATCGTGACCGAGTTCGATGCCTGGCATAGCCAGAGCCTGAGCATCTTGAATGTTTTGGGCAAGGACTGGCAGAATGCCGACTTGGACTTCGACTTCTTGGTCGACTTGCCCTGTGACGCCCAGAGCTCCTTGATCGTGACCGAGTCCAATGCCTGGCATGGCCAGAGCTTGAGCGTCTTGAACGTTTCGGGCTAGGGCTGGCAGAACGCTGCCTTGATTCGTGCCTCTCTTGTCTGTCAGCTTCGTGTCTGTGGAACAGGCAGATACCAAAATATTCTCAAATGTGTTCACTACGAAAAGAAATAACCTGATCAATCTTTAAAAATGGAACCAAGATCTTCTCCCTCAAGGGAAATAAAGCTAGGAAGTTAATAGGCAAAGTTAGAGGGAAAGGGTGACACATGACTTTGTCACAGACCCGAACTGTCAATGGTTGAATGAAGAAAGCTTGAGAACTTATTTTTACCATTTCAGCACATAATGTTACATACTTGAGAGCGATAACTGAATTGTTGAATGAATGCTCAGAAATAAATCTTGTGATATGAAGAATGAGCAGATCACTGGTTTGCAACATTGCTTGGGAAAGTTAAGTATAAGCTTGGAAATACTTATGTCAGAGACTCAAAGGAGATGAATTAAATGGTTCTGGTAGAGTCAAGTGAGTTTCACGTAATCGGGCCTCATTCTTTCTGAACGTGCTTTGGTGAGAATATCAGAATTTGTATTTGATCTTTTAATCTCAAGATAGATAGGATACAGGATGATATGTATATCTTTCTTTTTCAAATCTCCTTAACATATGCAAAGTTTTGTATCATATTTTGATTCTT